CCACACGAGAGACTGCATTTCAAGCCCTGAAATTCCAAATGGCCATGGCTGAGTTCCTCCTCCTCCTCCTGCTCCTCCTCCCCCGTTCGGCGACGGCCCATCACCTCTGTCCCTCTCAAACGACCATCACTAGCCAAGGGTACGGCCGACTCGCCTTTACGGGAACGATGGGCGCCAACCGACTGCACGCCCGCATCTACATCCACAACAGCCCCCTATGAGCCCGGCTCGCAGGCCTGCACGTCGCCCACCACGCAAGCTACCAAGGCTCGCGCACGACCTGGATCGCCCAGACGCAGACCCCGAAGAGGTGCTCGACATCCACACCATATCCGACGATAGTAGCGAAAACATGCCGTCCAGGGTGCGCAACGGGCGCGCATCGCCTTCCAAGCCATCCCCGACTGCCAAATCCAAATCCCGTGGTGCGCGTCCATCAGTGGCGCAAGACGTCATCGAGATCCTCTCCAATGCATCCACAGACAACACACACGACGACGTTGACATGTCGGATTTCGAAGATGTCGACGTGGCCAATGCAGGCCCCGCCACGGGTGCCTCGCGCGAGGCCAGCGAAGACCTCGAGATGGAAGACGTCGATCTCGATCCGGACAACTCGACCAAGGATCTGCACGACATGTATGCCGATGCTTACCGAGAGGTGCAGGCAAAATACGGCGACGGGGCCATCGGCGAAGATGGTCAGGATGGCAGCGATCAAGAGCAGACGGGCGACGATTCAACCACCGATCCCAAAGCAATCCCCATCTTCAAGGACGGCAAGGGTCAGCACCGGGGCGTCGAGATCTCCGTCGGCAGTCGCACCCCCAAGCAGTCCGGCTCCACCAAGCCAAAGTCCACCAGCCTCCTCACGCCGCGCGACCGTCAGAATCGCATTACTGCGCACAAGCTCCTCGTGCTCTCCATGCTCGCCCACGCCCGCGTGCGCAACAAGTGGTGCAACGACGACGATCTCCGCGACACACTCGCCGACTCGGTGCCAGACTACCTCATCACCAAGCTGCGTTCCATCCATCCCAAAAAGGTGCCCGAGCAGCGCGAACGTATCCGCATGTTCGAGAGCTTCCTTTCGGAGCTCGTCCGATGGTGGACGGCGCGTTTCCGCCTCGACCCCACCATTGTCGCGGCCTCGGCGCTGCGCCAGCCGGACCAGGACATCGCAACCGGCATCATGCCGAGCTCCGGCAGGCGCATCGATGGCTGGGTCGTAGAGACGGCAGCAGAGCGAGAACAGCGCCACCGTCGCGAGCGCAGGGAACAGCAGCGCTACCGCGACGCAAAGGAACAACAGGCAAATGCAAAGTCCAAAGGCAAGGGCAAAGCCAAGGCCGCCTCCGCAACAAGTGCATTGCTGCCGCCAACAAAGGCGATGGAGATCACCATCTTCGCGCCCGGCAGCGCCATCCGCCCGATCTACTTGCGCCTGCTCTCGGCATCAGAGACCATTTCGTCGCCCGCCGAACTCAAGCAGCGTGCGCTCGACAAGGCCGGCTCCAGAGAAACGAGCGCCCAGCTCTTCTGCGCCCTGTGCCGGTCCCTCGGCATTCCTGCTCGGCTCGTAGTGAGCCCGCAGCCGATGCCGTGGAGTGTGGGTGCAAGCAAGCTCGCCAACTCGGCGGCGGGCACTCCGGCAGACAAGAAGCCCAACCAGCTCCGTGCCAAGGCCACGACCCCGGCGTCACGGCGTTTTGCTTCCAAGCCGGTGCACGAGCTGACCTCGGATGACGAGTCTGTCGCGTCGATCGGCTCGGCGAAGCGGACGGCCACCCACGGTAAGGCTGTGCCGCACCCAATGGGCCTTTCATCGGCAGACGAGGCCAGCGATGCAAAGAGAAGTACACCTGCAAAGGCTCGAGCAGCAACTTCGCGGCGGGAAGCGCCAGGAAGCGCCAGCACCAGAACTAGTCGCCGAGGCAACCGCGAACAGCCCATCTTGCTCGATGGCACGGCATCGGATGCCTCGTCCAAGTCGGCGGCAGCGACGCCAAAGAAGGGGAAGGCGAGCACCAGGGCTGCAGCCGTCAGCGAGTCGGCGCGGCGCAAAGGCAAGGCGAGAGAGGTCGATCCGCCTGTGGCCGATGATGACGGGAGCGAAGACGATGACTATCGCCCGGAAAAGTGGAAGAACCTCAAGACGCCGCTCGAGGTGGAGCACAAGGTGAAGCTGCGCGCATTTCGGCCCAAGCAGCTCAAGGACTCGGAGCTGGCGGGTGAGGATACGACGGCGGATCCGGTCGACTTGCAGGCTCCGCCGACCATGTGGGTCGAGGTATTCTCCAAGCCGTACCAGAAGTGGATCAGCGTTGATCCGGTGCGGTCTTTGGTTCGGCCGTCCGGCAATCGTCACATGGAGCCGGCGCCATTCGACCGGCAGAACAAGCTGATCTACGTTGCGGCGTTTGAGGAGGATGGATATGCGCGCGATGTGACGGCGCGCTATACGAAGACGCTCAACTCGCGCGTCTCGCGGCTGCGTCCGCCGACACGGGCAAAGGGAGAGGAGGACTGGTGGACGCGCGTGGTGCGCGCCATGCACCGTCCGCAGAAGCTCGACCGCGACGCCATGGAGGATGCGGAGCTGCAGGATTTCAGTGCGCGCGAGCCCATGCCGTCGTCCATGGCCGGGTTCAAGGACCATCCGGTGTACTTTTTGGAAAAGTTTCTCAAGCGCGACGAGGTGGTGTTTCCGCGCCGCCAGATCGCCACGTTTCAAGGCACGCCGGTCTTCTCCAAGTCGGACGTAGTCACATTACGCTCGTCGCGCCAGTGGTACAACGAGGGCCGCGTCGTGAAAGACGGCGAGACCGCGCTCAAGTTCGTCAAGGCGCGTGGGTATACGCTTGCGAACAAGCGAGCCGAGGAACAGGCCAAGCTCGAAGGTCGCGAGGTCGCACAGGAGGGACTGTACGCCGAGTTCCAGACGCAGCTCTACGTTCCCCCCGCCGTGGGACCGGACGGAGTGATTCCGACGAATGGGTTTGGCAACATCGACCTGTTTGTGCCCTCGATGCTGCCGGCGGGTGCGGTGCATCTGCCCATGCAGGGTACCGCCAAGGTGGCCAAGAAGATCGGCGTACCGTATGCCGAGGCGATCACGGGCTTCGAGTTCCGCAAGCAGCGCGGCATGCCCAAGATCACGGGCATTGTTGTGGCCGCGGCGAACGCAGAGATGGTCGAGGACGCCTTTTGGCAGCAGGAGCAGCAGGATGCATTGCGCCAGCAGACCAAGAAGATGGAGCGTGCCATGAAGAATTGGCGCAAACTCGTCAATGCCGTGCGCATCGCCAAGCGCGTCCAGGAGCAGTACAAGGACTCGATCGAGGGTCACACTGAGGATGCACCGCCAAACGGGGATCAGCAGGAGGAAGAAGGTGGCGAGAAGAGTCGATTCTTTGCTCCCAAGTCGGCGGAAGCGTCGCATTCGGCCGATACTGATGTGGGTGAGAAGCTGGATGTGGATGTGGATGTGGAGATGGCTGATGGGGTGGAGACCGAGCCAGCGGCTAGTGCGGTAAGCACACCGCGCAGGAAAGGCGCCATCATCTCGCTCGCCCAACTTGCTGCCGCGCCAGCTGAAGAAGAGCCGGAGGAGGAGAAGGAGAAGGAGGAGGAGGTAGCGGTGGGGGAGAAACGTGCCCGTCCGGAGCGACGCTCCACACGCGCGCGGAAAGGGCAGGCGCAGTACGGCGAGCGCGAGGACAGCGACGAAGCTCCGCCAGAGCAGGCCGAGACTCCGCGCCGCACTCGCCGCATCACCATCAAGCGTCCTAGGCGCAGCTAACTCGACGCTCACCCGCAATTCTCAACTGATTCCGTCTGCAGCTGGTCCTTGTGACTTGAGGGGTTGCGTGTGATGATGATCGTTCCACCCGGTGGACATGAGGATCTGCGCTGGCTGACGAGCGTACTGCCGAGTGGAAAGTTGGTGTGCAGCGGAGGGTGCTGCGCGAGTTGGGAATCTCTTTGCGTCTGACATGCTTGTTGTGGCTGCAGCCAAAAACCAGGTGGGAATGTTGAGCCTTGGTGAACACCTAACCCAGTCGACTTGGGAAGCTGTACTTGCACTCATTCTCGCCTCTTCGCCTCTTGGCCATGCGAGCCAGACTGCGCCGACGCGGAGCTTGCACATTCGACAGCATGCGCAGCAGAGTCGAAGCTTGGTCGGAGCGGAGGTTGCCGTGCGAGCTGGCGGGGTTAGACTTTTGCGGTGGCATGCTTGTTCTGGCTGCAAATCCGACGTGCGTCGCATCTGCAGCTGGACGCCCAAGGGGTGCGTGGTCACGATTCGGACGACTTGATGCGGTGCAGGCCGAAATCATACCGCATCTCGGCGCTATGCGGACGATCAACTGCACATGAGGCTGCGTGGTCGATGGGGCCCAAGCCGCACATGCAATGACCATCTTGATGGCACACACTTGACACGGCCATGACCGAGCCAAGCAGTCGAATGACATGCGCCGCCCCAAGCGCGTGATCGCAACCGACCCCTTTGCGCCTGACATGCTTGTCGTGGCATCAAAGCCGCGCACTGTACACCCGGTGCGAGGTCTCGCCGTCAAAGACTAGCCGAATCAGTCGTGAATGCTCCAGGTCCGATGATAAAGCACTTGACAATTGAAATACGCCCCCCATCTGCCATACGCAACATGCTAGACGCTCAGCCACCAAAAGCTGTGGATAACGATTCACTCTCGACAACCGGCGCTTCATCAACTCAACAGCAATTCTGCTTGGCTCGGTGTCATACACGCACGCACACACTGAATCCTGGAATCAAGATTGTTTTCAATAAAGCGTTGCGCTTAGAGCCAGGGGGCCCAAGTGGGATCCTGCAAAGCCAACTTGGACGGGTTGGACGCCGAATTGATCAGATCCAACACGACGCCACTGACGGGCGCGGTGTTGTTGGACCTCTCGAGCTCGTGGGCGCAGCTGAGCAGCTTGGCGCGCTTGACGATGTCGAGCACATTGGTCATGACCACCTCCTTTGGCGCCTCGGTAGGCAGCTGCGTCGGCGCGGCTCCCTGGGCCTGCGCCTGCGCCTGCGCCTKACGCTGTGCCCCCTGCAGCCAAAAGTTGATCTCGTCGCGTACAAAGATGCCCAGATACTCCTCCATGGCCCTCTCGGGCTCGACCAGCGTCCGTGCCAACGCAATCAGCGAAGACGTCAGCACGCCTTCGATCGCCACGGGCCCGATAAAGTGCTGCAAGTTCGGCGAGAGGCGGAAGGGCGTCGGGTCGGTCGACTTGAACTGCGGAGCGGTGGGGTTGAACGTGGGTACGACGTCCGACATGGCCACCTGGCCCGAAGCCCGACTGATGTGGATCCGGTTCGGTAAGCGGTTGGAGATGAAGAGGCAGTAGGTGACGAACGATGCAGCGGCGGTCTGCAGCGCGAATTGCTTGCGCAGCATGTAGAGATCGCTCGACGTCGCCATGGACCGTGTCATGTAGCGCGTCAACACCGTGTCCGGAACAAACTTGGTCGAAATCTCCTCCATCAGATCCATGCGCAGGTTGGTAAAGTCCACATTGCCGCGTGTCCCACTGGCCGAGCCGGAACCCGTAGCAAGGTTGCCACCGTCCCAGGTGGAGCGCATCTTTTCGACCCACGCAATGACGGGGTCGTCCTTGCCGATGCCAATCTCCTCGCAGTGCCGCTCGTAGATGTCCTGCAGACTGACGAAGCTCGAGTCGTGGTCGATCAGGCGCACCTGCGGCGCGAGCGGCAGCGCCAGCGGCACGTGGAACGCCAATCCGCGCTTGCGCGTCTCCTTCCTGCGCTCCAGAATGCGGTTGAAGAATCGCAGCAGCTGGAAGATCTTTTCTTCGCGTCGACAGTACCTCCCACTGGGCAGCTGCACCGCAAACGAATGCATCGTACCCTTGTTGCTCAAGATGGTCAAGCGCCGCGTGCACATGCCCGCCGACCGCACCATCTCGAACACCGGCATGAAGCGCGCGATCTTGACAAAGTCCGAATTGTTGTCCTCCAGCTTGAGGTACTGACCGGGCACCTCGACCTCGTCGAACTTCTGGTGCTGGAACTCCACCAGATAGTGGCTGCAGTGCTCCAGATGCTGCTTGCTCGGGCGCCGGTCCAGACTCGTCTCGTACCGGTCGCGCCACCGCTGCAGCTTGCTCACATAGTCGCGCAGCGTCGGCTTGCTCTTGACAAAGTCCTCCTCGAACGACGTCTTGAGCGGACCCGGGGGCAGGTTCTCGGCAAACCGGATCACGTTGGCCTGCGACGACGCCGGAAGCACCCCAGAGTCGTTGGGCGACACCGCTCGCTGGATGTACTGCTGCAGCGCATCGTTGAGCAGCGCGTTCGTCAGTCGGTAGATGTCCTCCTCGTTCGTCGGCTTGAACCGCTGCTGGATCTGCTCGGCAATGTTCTCCATGGTCAGCGTCAGCAGCGGGAACGCCGTCTTGAGGATGTTGAGGATCTCGTCCACGTACTCCCACGGCTGGCGCGGCACGTTGGCGGCTGCGGCAGCAGCGGCAGCGCCCGGTGCCCCCGCGGCTCCCGGTGCCGCCGGCGTGGCAGGCGCGCCCGCAGCCGCAGGCGTTGCACCCGGCGCAGCAGCCTTTCCGGAAGCATCGGCGCCGTTGGCAGGAGCGGTTGCCGCGCCGTCCGCCTTGGTGGGACTGCCTGGCGTCTGGCCCTCGGAGCCCGGCGGCTTGGCGGCGTCGGTGCCCGTGGCGGGCTTGCCGTTGGCAGCAGCCGCAGCCGCCGCAGCCGCAGCCTGCTGTCGAGCCTGCGCCTGCGCGGCACGCTGCGCAGCGATGAGCGACTGGCGCTTCATCGTCACAAAGTCCTCCTTGGTGGTGCGCAGGTAGAAGTAGAGCGACTGCGGGAACGTCTTTGCGATCGACATGAGCATCTTGCGCGCGAACCTGGCCTCCTTGTGACTGAGGCTCTGCAGCAGCTGGGGGATGAAGGTGATCCAGTACCAGATGGGCGCGTCGCCCTTGAAGCCCTCGAACGCCTGCCAGACGGTACCCTTGCTGTCGTCGCACGAGAGCAGCCAGAGCACGCGGATGAGCACCTTGCGCACCTTGGCGTTCTTGTACAGCCCGGCGGCCTGGAGGTAGCAGCTGACGGCGTTGCCTGCCGCCGCGAGCTCCGTCGGCCGGTCGCGGAAGAGGCGGTCGTTGTAGCGGCCCCACTCGGTCCACGCCTTGGCGAGGTTGAGGTCCATCTGGATGGCGGTGGCAAAGGCGTGGTTCGCCTCGTCGTTGAGCCCGAGGCGCGCCATGAACATGCCCTTGAGCGTGAAGAACTCGGCCTTCTGCGGCGCGGCGAAGAACATGAGGTTGGTGTTGTTGATGACGTCGAGGCCCTGCGTGAGCTCGTTCGGGTTCTGGAAGTGGCACTTGGCCTGCTCGCGCAGCTTGAGGAACGCCTCCTGGATCTCGATGTTGGGCAGCGTGTAGATCTTGGTGAGCGACGAGATGCACACGTCGTTGAGGTAGTGCTTCCGCGCCACGTGCGCGAACCGGTTGATGATCCACGCCGTCTCGTGGTAGCCGCGGTAGGCGTACGAGTTGGTCGACGCATTCTGCCCGTCGCGCTGCTGGATGACGGGCACGAGCGGCAGATACGCCTTGTTGATCGCGCCGAACACGTGCTGTCGCCAGGCGACCAGGTCCGACCACGCATTGATGTCGTCCCACAGGTTGGGCAGGCGCTCGCGCCACGTCTGCATCTGCGCCTTGAGCTCCGCGGATCGCTGGTCCAGATTCGTGGCATTGGTGTGCGCCAGGCTCGCAAAGATCGTGCTGGCCTCCTGCAGCTCGACGAACTGCTGGAAGATCTGGAGCAGCGGCACGTGGGCCACCGTGACGGCCGCAGGCAGCGAGTGCCACTTCTTGAGCGTCAGCTGGATCGCCTCGTCGCAGATCCGCCCGAACTCGGCCGGCTTGTCCTGACCCGACTGGCTCTTGAGCAGCGCCATGTACGCCTCGAAGACGCGCCTCCTCGGCGTCGCACTCGCCGACAGGCTCTCGAGCGCCTGTTCGAGCGTCTCGCGCTCCGTCGTCCAGTCGTACAGCCGCCAGGCGCACTCGAGCAGCAGATCGTTGTCGCCCTCCATCTTGGCGAGGTCGGTGAGGATGTCCCACTGCTGCAGCTTCTGCGCACAGAACACCCACTGATCCTCCCACAGATGGTACTCGGCCTCGGTAAAGTTGAGCACGCCCGAGCGCGCCTTGATCTGCGCCGTCTCGTACTGCACCTGGGCGTGGTTCCACATGCCGATCTGCTCGAACGAGATGGCGCTGTTGGTCTCGGCGTACACGCACCTCCTCCTCCACAGGCCGTAGAACATGTCCTCCTCCGACAGCTCGGCGTACAGCTCCGCCAGCGCGTCCTGGCCCGCCTCGCGGATGGCATCGTCGTGGCGCGGCAGCGAGCGCAGCAGGTTCTGCAGAATCTCGATGGCCGTATGCCACGCGTTGAAGTTGCGGCCGAGGTACTTGACGACGTGCGGCGGCAGCTCGAGCTGCGGCTTGCACGCCAGCGCGCCCTCGAGCAGCGTCTGCACCACGTTGGGCCGCTTGCTCACCTGGCGCAGGTTGTACTCGCGCGTGAGCACGCCGATGAGCGCGCGCGTGATGTCGTCGTGGTCCTTGCGCATCATGGAACGCCAGGCGGCCGCAAAGAACGACACCCAGATCTGGTGCGCCAGCTCCTTGTCCGTGTACAGCAGAGCGCGGATCGACGCGATGATGTCGCCCACCTGCAGACTCTTGAGCGTCGAGACAAAGCTGCTGCCGCCCTTGCCGAGCTGCGCCGAGCTGTGTGCGAGCAGCGGCCAGTTGGCATCTACGGAGCCGAGCATGAGGTCGAGCACCTGGCAGACCCAGTAGTGCTCCGCCAGATACTCCCAGCTCTGGTGGCCGAGCAGGTACTGCAGACGCCCCGCCACGCCGCGCACGAGCGTGCGGTCAAAGATGTCGATGAACTTCTTGCGCACCTGTGCGTCCTTGTGCCTGCAGCCGAGCAGGAAGGCGTTCTCGAGCCGAACCGTGAGCTCGGTGCGCGCAAATGCCGGCGTCGTATAGATGGCGTGGATGAGGTCGAGATAGTCGCGCAGCAGCTGGTCGTTGTCGCGCGACTCGAACGACATCATCTTGAGCAGGATGCCCGCCTTCTCCTTGACCGTGGGGAACGTCTCGCGCTGCTCGAGGATCCACTTGGACATGGTGTTGAGCAGGAAGCGGCAGAGTTCGATCGACGATGATCGCTCCACCAGCTGCACGAGGGCCGACAGCAGCCACCTCCTCTGGTCGCCCAGGTTCGAGATGCGGCGCTTGAGCAGCTCAAGCACGAGCATGAGCAGCTTCAGATTCGTGTTGCCCGCTGGCACGGGCTCCGTTGCGGCCAGATGCTCCTTGGTGAGCTTGCTGAGCGCCTTGCTCAACGCGGGCAGGTGCGCGTCGATCTTCTCCGGCTTGCTCTGACTCCAGGCGTCGAGCATGCTGAACACGCTGTACAGGTGCTGGCTCTGCTTGAGGCCGTCGGCGATCAGGTTGTCCGCAAACTTCCTGAACGCCGCGAGCTCGTCGGTCGCCTCGCCCTCTTTGGACTCCTTGGCGGTGGCGTCGTCGCCGTCGGGCTTCTTGTCGTCACCCGTGTCCATGTCGGCTTCGCCGTCGGCGTCCTCCTCGGGCGGCGGGTCGGGGATCACGCGGAAGATGCGCTCGAGCACGGGCTTCTGCGCCTCGACGAGCGAGACCTCGTCGGTGGCCGCGCTCTTCTCGAGCAGCTTCTGCAGCTGCGGCACGTGCGGCGCGATGTACGCGTCCGTCTTGTCGGCCACCACGATTTCGAGCGTGCGCAGCGCGTTGCAGATGACGGGCGTGTTCTGCTCGTTGATGTCGGTGTGGATGAGCGGGCGCTGGAAGATGGACAGGCGCACTTGCACGTCCGACCAGTAGGGCGCCTTGAGCACCTCGGCCAGGAGCGTGGCCGCCTTGGACACGATGCCTGCCTTCGAGATGGGCTCCATCGACAGCGACACGAAGCGCACCAGGAAGCCGACCGTCATCTCGCGCAGATTCATCGGGATGAGGTACTCGTGGTCGGCATCCGTCAGCGTGACGCCAGTGGCGTCGCCAGAGGCACCTGGTGCTGGGGCAGCTGCAGAAACGCTGGTCGTGGCAGCGGCTGGTGCGGCGCCCTTGGAAGTGCCCGAGGCGGCAGCCGAAATGCCGCTTTCGTCGATGCGAACCTTTTTCACCGCCGATGTCTCCTCGGGAGCATCAGCGCTACGCTTGCCGCTGCTTGCGGGCGCCTCGCCTTCGGAGGCTGCGTCTTTGTCCTTGGCCTCGCCATCCGCCGACTTCTTCTGCGCCTCGACATGCTCCTGGCGGCGCTTCTCCCACTTGTACAGCAGCTCGACGAGGTCGACGGCGAGGATCCTCGACTCGACGTTGACATTGGCCACCAGACCAAGCTTGGTCAGGTTGCTGACGATGTGCGGGACAAACATCTCGCGGCTGCTGTAGAAGAGGTCTGCGTGTCGCACGAGCAGGCTCAAGATGGCAAAGAGCTGGCTGACGTTGTGGCCCTCGTCCACCAGCTGCCTCTTGGTCCACTTGGCCCACTGCGGAGGCTGGCCGTTCTCGCTTGCGCCCGCGCGCTTTGGCAGTGCAGGCACCAGAATGTCCAGCGCCTTCTTGACCATGCTGCGGCCCTCGGACTGATGCGCACGCAGCAGACCAAAGTAGACCTGGCCGACGATCTTGATGGGGCTCTCGAAGACTTCGAGGAAGCGCGCGATGAAGATGTACGCCACGTTCTTGACCGTGACGTCCTCGGCGGTGAGGTTGGCCCAGCCGAACTTGATCGTGTCCTTCTTGAGCTGGCCGTTGGGCGCGAGGTGGTTCGAGCAATGCTCGAGGATCATGGTCGACATGTGCAGCAGCTCGATGCGCAGCGCGTCGTCCGAGCACAGCTCGTTGGCCACCTTGGGGTTCTGGAACGGCTTCCACAGGCGGTTGACGATCTGCGTCACGAGCTCGGTATCGATCACTTCGGCGACGTCGGGCACAGGGTCGGATGCGGCAGCAGCGGGCTGGTCGGCTGCATCCTTCGGCTCGGTGGCCTTGTCCTTGTCCGCGTCGGCGGTCGATGTCGCCGCCGTTGCGGGGTCAGCGGAAGAAGCGCCCTTGACCTCAGCCTTGGAGGCAGCGTCGGCGGCAGGGACCTCGTCTCTCTTGTCGCCCGACTCTGCATCCTTCATCTCCTCGTCGCCGTCCTTGTCGGCAGACTTTGGCTTCTCCGCTTCCGAGCTCGACAAAGATGCGGCGGCCGGCTTGTCGGTGACCACCACGGTGGACTCGGCCACCTTGGGCGACGCGGGCGGCGTGCTGGTCGGGTGCGGCCCGTACGATGCGAGAAGCATGGGATTGACAAGCACACGCAGCGCCTGCGTCTTGAGCATCTGGCTCGCGTCCTTGTCCTCAAAGAGCTCGAGGAAGCGCGAGTACATCTGCCTCTTGAACGAGTTGGACGCCTTGATGCACAGATGGTCGTAGATGAATCGCGTGGCGAACGTGAGGTCAAAGGCGATCTTGTAGGTGTAGGCGTCGAGCAGGGCGATGTAGGCCTCGACGTGCGGCTCGATGCGCAGATACGAGAGGAAGAGCTGGATGAGCTGCTTGGTCTCGCTGACGCTGCGCGTCACTGCGGCTGACGACGCGGCGGCGGCGGCCGACTGGTCCGAAGCGGTGACGGCCTTGACGGTGCTGCTGTTGGCCTCGTCGCGTCGGCGCGTCTTGCTGGCGTCGCTGTTCCAGAGCGCGATGAGCTTCTCGAAGACGTCCTTGTTGGTGATGAGCCACTTGGGGTCGCGCTCGACCATCTGCTGGACGATGGTGACGCCTGCCTGCACCTGTGCCGCCGTGGCGCCCTCTGCGAAGAGCGGGAAGAGGAACTTGTCGCGCGAGCCCGTCACCTGCTCCCTCAGCTCCGGCCCGTCATCCGAGGCGAGGGAGAGCTTGACGACGCGCAGGAACTTGGGGTTGCTCAGCTTGTCGCCCTCGAAGAAGTACGTCACCGCCTTTTCGGCGAAGCGGTTGAGGAAGAGCGTGAGCGGCTTGGTGAAGGGCGTTGCGCCCGCACGGCGCAGCTGCGACTCGATCTCGGCCACCGTCGTGGTCAGCCTGGGAAGGAACTGGAACGACGCCTCGGGCAGGAGGCGGAAGACGTTGACGATGGCGACGAGCGTCTTGATCTGCTCGTTGTCGCGCAGCGAGCCTGCGGCGGCCCTGAGGAGCACTGCGGGCTCGGCGAGGCTGGTGAGATGGTCGAGCAGCTTGGTGCCGATCTCGACCTTGAAGTAGTTGGTGAGCAGCTGCAGCAGGCGCGCCAATCCCTCGAGTCCGGACGCCGTGAGCCTGTTGCGGTCGGCGAGCGTCATGAGGATGGGCCTGAGGCCGCTCTGCAGCAGGTCCTTGGGCAGCTTGCTCTGCTGGCTGAGCACCGTCTTGAGCGACTCGTACGCGACCTGCACCACCTCCTCGCTCCTCGAGTAGAGACTCTTGAAGTAGACCGAGATGATCTTCATGCGCATCTGCGTGTGCTTGGCCGAGAGGAAGTCGCCGCATGCCATGGCCGACGAGAGCAGCCGGATGGCAACCACCCGAAGCTTGGTGACGGCGATCATGTTCTTGTACTGCGAGGTCCTGCCGATGAGCGCCTGGTCGTCGGCGTCGGCGAGCGCAAGCGCCTCGGTGAGGACGCGGTAGAGCTCCTCGTTGAACTCGGGCAGCGGCGGCGTGAGGTTGAGTGCAAAGGTGATGGCGTCGATGTGTCCGATCTGCATGCCGAAGGGCAGCGCGCGCAGCGGCTTGGTGAAGATGGGCTGGAGCAGGCGTTCCTTTTGCGTGGTGAGCAGCTCGGTGACGGTGCACTTGCGCAGCTCTGCGAGCAGCTTGAACGCGGTCTGGGTGGTGGTGCGGACGGTGGCGTTGGAGCTGGACAGCTCGGGCACCAGGATGCCGATGAGGTAGGTGAGGTGGCTGGGCCGCTCGGGAACGGGCGGCTCCGCCTTGCCCTCGGCGGGCGCGTTGGTGGTGTACGCCTGACGGATGACCTGGAGGAGCGTGTCGCTGACCTCGTCGATGTTGCCGGGTGGGTCGTTGGGCATGTCCTTGAGCATGAAGAGCAGCGCACGGACGATCTCGAGCTGATGGTCGCGCACCCAGACCTGGCCGAGGTCGGCGCGGCGCACGAGCATGTTGACGCCGAGCCAGCCGCCGGTCTTGCGCTGCCACAGCTGCTCGTAGCACTGGGAGCAGAACTTGCTGGCGAACGAGTGCATGACGATGTGGCCGAGGTCGGGACGCGTGGCGGGCGCCTTTTCGCACGCGGCGAGGAACTCGCGGATGATCTGCAGCTCCAACTCGATGAGCGGCGCCGGGTCGTTGCCCACCTCGTTGAGCGCGAGTGCGTTGGTGAGCCCCTCGAGCAGCGAGGTGGTCATGGGCCACAGATGACGGCTCGAACCGCCGGAGGAGGAGGAGGGCATGTCGCGCTTGATCTCGGCGTGGAAGACGTGCTTGCAGATGCCAAACAGGTACTGCACCGCCTCGTCCCTGAGGTCGTCGGCGCGCGTGGCGTCAAAGAGCCCCTTGATGAGCTTGCCAAACACCGCCTCGCGGTCGGCATCCATGAGGGAGCCGTCGAGGAAGAGCGCGGCGGTGTGGCGGAGCAGCTCGAAGGCGTGCTTGCGATAGTACGGGTCGGTGCGACGGATGTTGGCGAGCGCGAGCTCGGTGACGGGGGTGAGCGTCATGGACTGCGACTTGCCGTCGAGATGGATGGGGAAGGTGGGTGGCTTGTGCGAGACGTAGGCGAGCCGGGGCGGATTCTGGAGGAGCTTGCGGTTGCGGCCGCCCATCTTGCCGAGGATGCGCATGGTGGTGTGGGAGTGCTGGTGGTTGTGCGGGAGGGGCTGGAGATGCTGCCAGAGCGCGGCCATGATGTCCTGTGCGTAGGGCGCCATGATGGGGTCGAGGAATTCCTGGGTGAGGTTGTCGATGCAGAGTTCGAGGGTGCGGAGGCCCTGGCTGACGAGCTCGGTGGAGGACTGGAGCGCGAGCACGAGCGGCTTCATGAGATAGCCGAGGTAGGGCAGAAGCACGCTGAGGCGGACGGGCACGGTGAGGCAAAGATCGACAAACACCTCGCGTCGGCTGGGCTCTGCAGCGTTGAGGAGCGCATTGAGGTTCTCGAGCAGGACGGGGAGGAGCGGCAGGACGTCCTTGTAGAGGAGCTCGAACCGGCCGCCGCCGATGCTGCGGAAGAGAGCGCGGAGGAGGAGAAAGTAGTTGGTGGGCTCGTCGGCCTTGCTGGCGAGCTTCATGGACTCCATGATGAGATGGCTGAGGTGGGGCTGGAGCACCACCTCGTTCTCCTCTGGGAAGATGGTGACGGCCATGAAGGCCATCTTGAAGAGGCGCAGGCTGATGGAGGCGTGCTTCTTGTCCGACTTGCCGAGCTCCTCGAGCCTGTCGACGAGGAAGCGGAGGAGGATGCCGACGAAGCGCTTGGAGACGGCGTCGTTGCTGAGGAGGTTCTGCGGGATGCCGAGGAGGGTGGGCGAGTTGAGCATCTCCTGGAAGAGGAAGGGCATGTGGGCGGTGAAGATCTCGTGGAAGACCTGTGGCTCGAGGTCGATGAAGACGGTGGTGAAGAGGTCGAGCACCTCTTTTTCCTCCCTGCCCTCGCGGTCCTCGTGGAGGGACCAGCACTTGACGCCGTCGACGAGCAGCCTTCCTGCGGTGGCGCCGTCGGGATGCGCGGCATTGCGATGGCGAAGGACGGGGATGAGCGTCTTGAAGCCAAAGAGGATGTTGCGAAAGAGGAAGCGAGCGTCCTTGAGCGGATCGCCTGCGACGTCGAGCATGATGGCGGCCGCCTGGATGGGCTTGCCGCGCTCGATGGTGACTGCATCGACGGCGAGCTTGTCGGTTGTGTCGACTGCGTCGGCGTGGTGCTGCTGGTGTTGATCTTTGATCTGACGCAGGCGGTCCATGTCGGCTCGCATGCGATGCAAGCTGGCGAGCTTCTCGACAAAGACGTCGAGGATGGAAGCGAGCGTCTGAGTGGCGCCGTCGGGGTGTTTTGTGAGGATGGTCTCGACGAGGTTGAGGAGGAGCTTGACGCACATGGTTTGGATGCTGGGAGCGAGCGTGGGGTCGTGCAGGATCTGGGAGTGGATGTGGACGACACGGACGAGCTGTTGGGGCGAAAGCTCCTGGCGGACGTGGTGTACGAGGTCGGCGAGCATGCTGATGGCGAGTGGCCTCTGTGTCTCGTGCGAGGTGACGCCGGTGCCGATGAGGACGCGTTCGTCGAGGAGGGTGTCGATCTGACCGACAAAGTGGGCGCGGTACTCGGTGGAGAGGACGTGGCGGGTGGCGACGAGGAGCTCCTTGCGGGTTGCGGAGGCCTCGGGTGGACAGTCCTTGAGGAGGCGGACGCTGATCTCGGGGAGGACGTGGGCAAAGGGCCGCATGACGGGAGCGGAGCCTCGGAGGACGTAGGCGAGGAAGGACATGGTCTTGACCTGGGCTACGATCATGTCGGTGTAGAGCGATCTGTTCTTGATGGCGGGAGCCACGCCGACAAAGATCTCGCCGTTTGCGCTTGCGGCTTGGTGAGCCTCGCGCTGTGGCTTTGCCTGTAGCGAGAGGCAGCTCTCGATGATGAGGGGCACAAAGACGTTGATGGCCTGCGGGACTACGGTGCGGTAGCTCTGGAATATGAGGACGATGACGATGGGACATTCTGTGAGCACCTTGAAGCTGGACATGGACTTTGGGAGCGGCTTGGAGGCGGGTGCGGCTGGTGTGGCTGGTGTGGCGGATGTGGCTGCAGGGGTGGTGGAAGCCGAAGCGGTCGGGGTGGATGTGGAGGCTGCGGCGTCGGAGGCGGCCGTGGCAGTGGCAGCGGGCTGCGCTGTGGAAGAGGCAGCTGGAGCGGCGGCGGTGGTGTCCGTGGCGGTTGTAGTGGTGGTGGTGGTGGTGGTGTCCGAGACGGCGGGTGTGGTGGCAGCGGGGGCAGTGGGAGCAGCAGCAGTGGAAGCAGGGGCAGTGAGCTGGGAAGCTTCGGACTCAAAGGCCTGCTCTACGGTGTTCTTCATGTTGGCGTAGAGCTTCTTGACGAGTTCGAGGAAGGGCTGTACCTGATCCTGGAGGACAGCTTTGAAGGAGCGATGGAGGTCGATGATGACTTTGAGGGCGAGCACGGCATTGTCCTCGTTGTCGTCGCGGAGGACGTTGAGCATGGCGGTCATGAGGGGGTCTGCATAGGGTTTGAATACGTCGTGCTGGGGCATGCGATGTGTTGTTTCGAGGACGATGTGGCGGAGGCGCTGCTCGGGCGCGTCTGCGATGAAGCTGCATGGTGTTGCGTCGAGGAGGGAGATGTAGGCGGGGATGACGTGCTTGAGGAAGAGGGCGTAGTCGATGTTCTGGAAGAGGTCGAGGAGTTCCTTGAGCTCGAAGGCGGTGGCTAGCCTCGCCTTTGCGTCTATTGAGTTGTCTGCGAGCTTGGCGGCGATCTGCTCGACGTCCGGCACGGAGCGGCGTGCGGAGTTGTCGGTGGCCGACATGGTGCGGAGTGGATGGTGCGCGTGCTGCGCGTCAGAGGGCGGCCTCGTGTGTGTGGAAGCGCATGTGCTGGATGGATGAAGCTGTGGTAGCGCGCGGGCAGGGTTGAAGAGGAGGCGTGCGGCTGGATGGCTTTGTCGTTGACCGAGCGAGTATGCCGAGGATGCCGAGGGTGAGATGGATGGTACCAAAGTAGGAATGAGGATGAGAGCCAAGCAGCGAGGCCGAGGAGGAGCTGCCTGTCGTGTTCTGCCGAGCCATCCAAAAAGCGCCAAGCGCGAATCTGTTAGATCGTTTCCTAAGCCGGCCTGCCACACTCTTTCTCACGATCCAGTCTCACATGGCTCTGAAGCGTTGGCATATACAAGCAGCGCATACTCACGATTGGGCGCAGTGCGATCGCAACGACTCAGAAGGCAGACTGTACGGCAGGCATAGAGAGACAGTCAAGTGTGGGGGCGAGGAGTGAAGAGGAAGAAGGGGGGGAAATGGCTCCGAACGCCCTCTCTATCCCAACGACGCTTGGGGTCACGTGAGCCACGAGGTCGTCCACTTCTTCCGGCGATGCGCTGCACAGGTAATCGTGACTAAATACAGATCTGGCTTGTGGGACAAAGGCGGCGTAACATTGTTTGACCCGGCGCACCGCACATTGCTCGCGTGAGAGCGGGAATTGAGCATCCGAAGGCGTGGCACAAGCCAGGCGCCAAGTCAAAGGCAGAAACACGCAGTCGGTGCCACCTCACTTTGGCGAGCAGTGAAAGAGAGAGAGAGAGAAAGAGTGTTGGTTGGCCACGTCCGATCGACCAAACCCTTCTTTGCTACTTCATCCTTCCCATCTCGCATCTCCCACCGTGTCATCATATACACTCGGCGCCGCGCTCATGACATAGTCCACACTCTCTTTGCCGACTCTGTCTCCGCCCTCTTCCACTTGCTTGGCTGGGCCTGCTCGTGTAGCCACTGCGCACCATGGCGAGCCTCTTGCTGCGTCTGTTCCATTCGGACTACTTTTCGCCGCACCTCGCGCTTTCCTATTTACGCACGTACTCGGACAACATCGGCATCACCTACTACCTCGTGAGCCAGCTCGAGTCCGCATTCCCCTCGCACCACGTCGAGTTCTACTGGCCCCAGCTCTGCCACCTCCTCATCACCAAGCCGTCCGACTCGCGCGCGCTCGAGTGCTTCATCCTGCGCAGATGCAACGAGTCCGTACACGTCGCACTCCTCACCCTCTGGTACTTCCAGGCTGCGCTTTCCGACCTCTCGTCCAACCCGAATACAGCCTCGTTTCACATCTGCCATCGCGTCTTCAACGAGTGCCAGCGCATCCTCTTCCAGGACCCGCTCGCTTCGTCCAACCCGGTCTATGCGCTCGCTTCCGCGCCTGCCGATGCTCCCGGACCCTCCAACTCGAATCTGCTCCAGAATGGGCTCGAGCGCATCCGTCTGGCGGCCACGTCCACGTTCCGACGCCAAAAGGTGTCGCCGCACACGCCCATCGCCAACATCGTCGGCATCGGCTCGGTGCTCGCCAGTGCGCCCGGCATGCCTCGCCTCGCCGACATCACGGGGAATATCGCCATCGAGCAGGCACGACAACCCGTAGACCCCATGCAGCACGCCCTCGCCTCGCGTGACGCCCAGCGCTCAGCACGTCAGGACCTCGACGATGATGACGACGATGACGAGGCCTTCCAGCACGACCAGCTCTACGAGAGCAACGATCGCGCCGCAGAGGATGGTATCGACAGCGACGACAACGACTCGCTCAACGAAAAGCCCGCCACCACCACCTCCACAGCGGCCCCTGATCCGCACGCACGAGACTCGAGCCTCTCGTCGTTGGCCGGCTCGCTCGTCAAGATGGCCGCCTCGTCGGTATCCATGGCACGCGCTGACACGGCGCCTCTGCCTCCGCCCAAGGACTCTCCGTCCGCTGCTACCTCTACCACAACCACCAAGGAGATCACCTCCGGAGGCTCGTTGCCCGCCGCCGACACCGCCAAGCGCCCCGACAACCCGTTCACCACCTTGGCCGCCGGCTTCAATGCCGGCTTCAACGACTTCAAGGGCAAGGCGGCCGCCGCCGTGGGCGAGGTGTTTGGCCAGGCGCACAACGACGCCCACCCCAGCACCTCTACACGAACCGCCACGGGCGCACGCAAGAACCCGTCCTCGACAGCAGCGCCTCCACCCTGGTCGCCGCACAAGCATCGGCAGCTGGCGTCGTTCGGTCAGCAGGCGGCATCGTCGCGCTCGGTGCCCAACCTCGCCTCGACGCGCGCGGGCGTCGCCTCGGTGTTCGCCTCGTCCGCCGCACTCAACCAGCCAGCCGCCAAGACGGAGGCGGTGCTGGCGCTGTACAATGCCGAGGCACGGCGCAGCCTGCTGCGATCCAACTATTGCAAGGAGCAGACGCGGTTCCTGCTGGCGTTGCAGGACATCTCGGCGCGGCTGTTGCTGTTGCCCAAGCCGGCGCGGCTGTCGGCGCTGCGTGCCGAGCTGACCGCGCTCAATCACAAGCTGCCCGCCGATGTGTGCTTCCCGCTGTGGTGCACTGCGGATGACAAGGATGTGCGCTCGGGAGGGGAAGCGGCGGGTGCGGCAAAGAGGCACCACCGGGTGGTGAGGATCAATCCAAGCGAGGCGGTGGTGCTCAATTCGGCGGACAGGGTGCCGTTTTTGCTGCATGTAGAGGTGCTCAACAACGAGCTGGATTTCGATCCGGAGCGCAGGCACAACCGCGACACGCTCAGGAGGCTTGTCACCGAGGAGGACTCGCGCAGGCGCAAGGCCGCCGCTGCGTCGTCGCCGTTTGTGCAGGCGAGCGAAAGTGCGCGCAATACGCCCGATCTCGTCGAGCATGACGAGGTCGCAACGGCGGCCAACGATGGCGATGCGCATGATGCAGCAGCAGCGGTGTTGGAGCTGGATGGTCAGCTGGGCACGCGGTCGAGCACGCCACGGCCCGCATCGCAGCCTCTGACGCCCGCGATGGAGCGTGGGGATGCCATGGATGCCGAACGCAGTGCAGCCGAGGCGGAGGCGGACATGGGTACGCTGCGGGAGCCAGACGCGGCAGGCGAGGAGATCGACCTGACCGAGCAGATGTACGGTTCGGACCTGGCCGGGTTCGGTGGCGAGCGCGAGACGTCTTCGGACGACGACGAGGATCTGTCGACGCGCAACCGGATGCACGATGCAGCGGCCTGGAGCGCGCCCGGCGACGGGGAGGTGGCGGCGGGCCATCGACCCATGCAGGAGTTTTCGCTCGACGAGTATGCGCAGCGCATGCGCACGGCGGCGGTCATGCTGTCGCAGCTCAACAAGTCGAGCAACGCCACCAAGGCGCACGCCATCGTCAACTACGGCCCGAATCTCGGCAGCAATGCGCAGGGCGGATGGAGCTCGTGGATCGTCCCCACCAACTGGTACTCCTCTGCCACCACCGGGGCGAATGGAGGAGGCGCGGGGGATAAGGCCGAGGTGGGACAGGGGACGGCGGGGGTGAGTGCGCATGTGGGGATGGATGTACGCGTGATGGGTGGCGTCGGGGGAGCAGGGCAGAGCTCGAGGTTGGTGCATGCCGAGACGGAGGCGATCCGCAAGCGGATCATGCACGAGATGATGGCGTTGGAGGAGGAGAGGATGCGGCGCATGAAGGCGGGTGGGCGAACGGCGGTGCGTGCGAGAGCCAAGGCATCCAATCCAACCACGCGCATGGGCGAGGACGAGGAAGAAGCGGTGCTGCGCGCGGTCAACAAGGACGATCCCTCGGCGGCCATGTTCAGCGAGTCCTGGGCAGCCAAAAAGGAGCGCATCCGTGCCTCATCCCCCTACGGCCATCTGGCTAGTTGGGACGTATTCTCGGTCATCGTCAAGACGGGCGCCGATTTGCGGCAGGAACAGCTGGCGGTGCAGTTGATCAACGAGTTTGGGCGGATTTGGGAGGAGACGGGGAGCGAATGTTGGGTTCGCTACTTCCGCATCCTGGTGACGAGCGAGAATAGCGGGTTGATGGAGACGATCACGGATGCGGTGAGTGTGCATTCGATCAAGAAGGAGGCGTACTCGCGCATGGCGGAAGAAGACAAGGCGCGGGGATTCTCGCTGTACGATCACTTTCTTGCGGCGTATGGGCCGTCGACATCGACGGGGTTTAGCAAGGCGAGGGGGAGGTTTATGCGATCGCTGGCGGGGTATAGTATCATCAGCTACCTGCTGCAGATCAAGGACCGACACAACGGCAATATCCTCGTTGACCGCGATGGACGACTCATCCACATCGATTTCGGGTTTATGCTCGGCATCAGTCCTGGCGGCGTGGGGTTCGAGGCGGCGCCGTTCAAGATGCCGCAGGAGTACATCGACATCTTGGGCGGGCTCGAGAGTCAGGAGTTCGACGAGTTTAAGAAGCTCATGCGGCAGGGATTTAGGGACGTACGCAAGCATGCGGAGCGCATCATCATGCTGGTGGAGCTCATGGCCAAGGATTCCAAGCTGCCCTGCTTTGCACTGGGCGACTTGACGGCGGCCAATCTGCGCGACAGGTTCCAGCTGGGATTGAGCAGTGCGCAGTGCGACGAGTTTGTGGATAGGTTGGTGTTGTCCAGTGCCGGTAGTGCGTTTACGAGGCTGTACGACATGTATCAGCGCCTCACCGAGGGCGTCCTCTAACTTGATGCTCGACCCATTCATCCCAGTTTGATGGATTCGCGTGTTTTGAGCGCGAGAAATACGACGGGGGTCTGTGCGTCTTGGGGACGCTTTTCTATCTTCACTTTTGTCTTGTCACTAACCCAAACGATGTCGACTTGCGCTGCTGGTGGGGTGGCGATCATCTCGAGTGCGGAGGTGGATGCTGCACTGCGCACGCTCAGCCTCGCCTCACTGCTACTCTCACAAGCACGCGCATTTCGCTCGCTGTCGACGGCGCAATGTCCGCCTCGCATCAGCCTTGTCACGCCCACGCATACGCAGCTCTTCATGCCCACACACACCTCGTCCACCACGGTGATCAAGATCGTCAGCGTCCCCCTTGTCAGCCGCGGCATTCCCGGAGTCAACCTTGTCTTTGGCGACGATGGATGCGTCAGTCACGTGGTCAACTCGACCATCCTCACCGCGGTGCGCACAGCAGCCGGGTCGGTCCTCAGCACCATCATGGCGCTAGGACGGCAGGAAGTGGAGTTGGTCGTGTTTGGGGATGGGCTTCAGGCGGTTCTACACATTGCGCTACACGCGCGATTCTACACGCTCACCACAACCACCATCGTTGTGGGTCAACACCGCCGCCTCTCGCCGACCGAAGTGGAGAGAAAGAAGGAGGAGATGGTTCGACAGCTAAGCGGGTTGGGCTGTGGGGTGGAGATCGAGGTGGTGACGGAGGTGGATGCGGTGAGGAGCGCGGTGGGGAGCGCGGATGTGGTGTGTACCTGCACTCCGTCGCGCAAAGTGCTGTTCGAGGAGGAGTGGGTACGTGGCAGAACACACGTATGCGCCGTAGGATCGTACACCCACCAGATGCGTGAACTGCCACCCGGGCTCGTAAAGCAGGCTGCAACCAAAGGTGCGCTTGTGGTGGATAGTGTCGATGCATGCAGGACCGAAGCAGGATGTCTCCAACCTCTTGACGATGAGCAGTGGGGTAGGGTGAGGCAGATGGCGGATCTCCTACCCAACCCCAACAGCGGAGAAGAGGAGTGGATGCAGCATGTCGAGGGAAGATGGAGCAACGAGGGCGTGAGTGTGTTCAAGTCGGTAGGTGTGGCTACGCAAGACGCCGAGATCACCCGTCTCATCGTGGATACCGCCCAGTCCACGCGGATCGCCTTCTAGCCGCAGACCCTGAAATGCAATCGAGTGGTGATAGTGTTACTTTTGGCGCGTTGATATTTCGCTTGTCTGCCCCTGAACACGCGTTGGCTTCCCACCACCACCATGGACACAACCAGCCTCTCGTTGCGGCTATCCACCCTCGCGCATATTGTGGGCACGTCGACCGAGGGGGCTGTGCTGGCTCGACTGCGCACCGTCGCTGGCGCGCTCGACGACGTGCCCGACGCTTCGGTGCGGTTTCTCGTCCAGCACTGGCCCGAGTACGATGCGCACCTCCAACCCCTCCCCCCGCCCGCTGTAGACGCACAACACGCAGTGCATGCACTCCAACTGCACGAAGAGCTGGCGACAGCCTACCGCGAGATCAGCGAGATCGCCGCATTGCAAGCTGTATTGGATGGTACAGCGAATAAGGCACTCGCAAGTAAGTCCCCCCCCCCCCCTCCCCAACCCGCCTCTCGTTGCGGCTATCCACCCTCGCGCATAT